CCCGGCTCCATCCCGCTCCATTGCTTCACCAAGGGGTGAGGAGATCCCGGGCCGGTCCTGCCCGGTGGGGCTGTGCTTTGCGGGGACCTCGGGGCTGCAGCACCATCACCAGGATTCAGTGATGGGAACCGTGGCCGGTGCCTGGTTTGGCACAGATGGGAACAGGAGCTGCTTTTATTTGAACCCATTGATTGGTCTGGACCGTGTGGGTGCTGTGGCACAGCTGGCACCAAAACTGCCCCAACACCGGCCCTGCGCAGGCACCGGTCTGACCCCATACTGGGACACCAGTCCAGCCCGCACTGGGATGCGCTGGCAGAGCCTCATGGCCCCAGGTCACCACTCACAGAGCACCTTTTGGCTTCAACCCCTCCAGCATCAACACAACAGCCAGGGTTGACAGTAACACCTTTACTGCACCACGTAACCACATCAGCGAGTGCCCAGGGTGGCTGGGATGGGGGAATGACGATGGGAAAAGGGGGATTTGCAGCTCTGCATCTCATTCGAACCTGGCTGCGCTGCATGGATCCTGGCCGAGCATCAGACGAGCGGCATCTTGTTAGTGGGGAGGTTTAGGACCACTTCGGTATCTGGTGTGCAGAGAGAGAGGGGGAGTCAGGAGGGGCAATGCAGAGAGTGGGATTCGGCCACTGTGCTTGGGCTGGTTCAGTGTGAGGAGGAGGAGAAACTCCTGCACAGCAAGGGAAGGGACTGGTTTTCAGCGGGGAGCGCCCAGACGCTTGTTCTGGGACACAGGACAGAGCAAGCAGCCATAAAACCCCTCGAAAAGCAGATGAGGGGTGTGCACAGCCCCTACGAAAGAAATCAGTGCTCGCTGGCCTTCCCGGAGAGGCAGAGCCAGATGCAAGCCCTGGGGCTCCGAGAAGGAGAAGGAATGAAACCATCGGCCCTCCCTGTCAGTCCTGAAAGACAAACAGAGGCGCAGAAAGCCCGTCGGAGCAGCCAGGTACATCTGCTTTCTCGCAGCGAGAGGACAAGAGCTGCAAGCTGGGCTCGCTCAGAGCTGCGCTCATCCATCTCCGTCTCAGCCCGGGACAAACTGTGCAAGCAGAGCGGCATCCCCAGCACGGGGCTTGGAGCCGCTGCTGAAATCCAGCCGGGGCCCTTCAAGGCTTTTTAACGAGGGGAAACCGAAATGCAGACGGGAACGGATGCGCAGGGGTTGCAGCTCCTCGGGGCTCCGTGTGCAGGGACCTCAGGAGCCCCGCGCTCCTGCGCAGCCTCACGCTTCCAGATGGAGCACGGCTCGTGTCTGATTTTTTGCTCTTTCGAGAAGCACATCTGGAAAATCTGGGACCAAAGGGTTAATTAGAAAGCACGAAGGGCTGGCGAAGCCGTGTGAAAAGCTGCAGGGGAGGCAGTGGGAAAAGGCCGAGGGATGCGGAGAGGGCTCTGGCACGGGCTCGCCTGTCAGGGCGGGTAAGCACCGAATGCCTGACTTGTGATGTTACAGAAACTTTCCACTTGGGCCTTCCTGCTATTTTTAACTCTTCTCCCAGCCATCCTCAGTAACCCCAGCCCCGCCAGCTGTCAAGGCTAATTAATTCCCTTTTTCTGTCGTTTTTTTAACGGAAGAAAATTAAGTCGCGTTAATCCATCGCCGCCCGCCTCCTCCGCCGTCCCCATACACGGCCCGGGCTCCACTCCTCTTTCGGCTGCTGCCTCCACAGCCATACCCAGCTCCCAGCTGAAACCCGGGCCCTGCAGGGGACACCCAGCCCCTCATCACCTGCACCAGGCCTGGTTTGGTGGGCGAGCATCTGTGCACCCCAAGGGATGGTATTTTAATGCGAAACGACCCCCGGGCAGTGGGATGCGATGGGAATGACTCCATTAACAGACATCTCCGTGCCAAGAATAATTTGTATAGGCAGTTGGTGGAAATAAATGCACATATACACACAGCTACAGGTTTTGGGCTACAGTTTGTGAGATTTAAACACGTTTCACCCATTTTTTTCTCAGGTTTGTACCTTTGGCCAGCACAGAAAGCATCTTGGTAGCTGTACATCACTTGTGATTTCTGTGGTTTGCCGTGTCCTGGGGAGGACCTCATGGCCATGGGACAAGATGCAGTGTTACACCTTCAGCCTGCCATGGGTATGTGGAAAAAAGCTTGTGAGAGCTTCCACGTTAAGCAAAGATTCCCCTCACGCTTTGTAATTCTGGTACCCAGAGCACCCACGGGTAAGCAGGAGTGGGGATTACACACAACCTCTGCCCGGGAAGTAAAGCCAGAGTAGGCACAAGGGGCTTGAAAAGCTTTGCTGGTCCTGCCCGTCCCCAGCTGCAGCCACCAACATCTCCACCCGCAGGCTGCACAAAGGGAAGCCAGAAAAGGGAGGTGAAGTGACCATGGGTCAGTGTTAGAGCTGTGGTTGGTTCCTGGCTGTGCTTGGGCAAGACCACGAGACCCTGCAGCCGCCTTCCCAAGCAGAACCCGACATAACCATGGGTTTAGACCCTGGGCTGGGTGCAGGTTTAGCAGCGATGGCTGTGGAGATGATGGGGTAAGGTTATGAGCACTCAGTGCCACAGACTCTGCAGGCCAAGGCCGCGGCGAAAGGGCTGTGGTGCCCATGGTCCTGCCTTACTTGGGTCTGCGGAGGAGGACGTCGGGAAAGATCATCTCTCTTGGGTCTTTTGCACACTGGTGGAACATCTGGATACTTCTCTTCAGCTCCTCAATCTCCTTCTCCAGGTCTTTAATAACCTGGACGAACAACATTTCTAAGAGCTCTTTACTTTGCAATAGAAGCAGGAGTTAAAGTTTTAAGGATATTGCAAACAGCAGAGCTAGAAAACACCCCCTGTGCAGGTAAAGCCTCTAACAGGCTTCCCAAAATACCTGCTGGCCTGCTCTTTCCTGGGGTGTCCTGACAGCCCATGGCCTCCCGTGGGAATGGGAGGCAATGTACCCCGCTGTGGCAGACAAAATCCTCGTGAAGGGAAGGGCTGGGGGTTGCTGGCTCTGCTGCACTGCACTGGTTCTTCCCCAGCTCGCTCAACTCCCTTCCCCTCGGTATTTGCTGTCGCACAAAGCGGTTGTTTAGCACCATCTGCTTCAGGCCATCCTGGTGCCGTGACATCTCCTGTGTGGGGTGAGAGAAGAAAAGCCCAGTAACCACCAGTATGGAGCCCTGCCGCTGCTGGGTGCCCACGCTGGCCGTGTCCAGGTGCATCTTTCTTCAATGAAATGGTTTCTACTCCAATAAAGTTTGGGTCCTGACTCTGGAGAGTGTCACTGAGATCTCATTGTGCCCATCATGGCACAAGGCTGAGGAGCTCAGGAGATCCACTTTGGTTTCCCAGGGAAAGCTTATTAATATAGCTTGGGTTCCTTAGATCACCTGGGCTTAAAATGCTCCTGTAATAACACACAGCAGCTCTTCTGCACCAGAGCAGGCTGTAAATGGAGCCAGAAATTCCTATTTTCTCAGTGCTCTCAAGCTGCTAACCCAGGAGAAGTGCTAAGCACACCACGCGAGCGGGAACCCTGCAACAGGAACTACTCCTATTTTAGAAGAACGACAGCAGCCCCTGCTCTGTAGTGCTGCATATAGTTCAATTTCCCCATGAATTTATTACAAACATATGTGTGCTGCCACAGCCAATTAGCGAGGCAGCTACCTAAATAATGTAATATAACAGGGACCGTAAAAGCGGGGTGAACGCCGGGTCGTGGTGCACTCACCTCCGCACGGCAAACTCTTGGGAGCGAGCCTGAGAATCTTTCAACACATCAGACCACAGCTGGGACTCCAAAACGCTTCTCATGTGCCCTCCCAGGCTGGCAAACAGCTCCAGCACGGCAGCGGGAGGGGAGCAGCGATGTGCTGCTACTTTTTGGGTGCTGGCTGCACCGTGCTGTGACTGCAATGTGTGGAAGCCCCTGCATTGCCTCCCCGCTCCCAGAAGCTGATTTCTCTTACTAGGACGACACAGGAACTCCACAAACCTCTGCCACTTTCTGTATCAGCTCCTCTCGTTCTGCCCCTGCTTTTTCTTCCAGTTCCTTCAAGACAGCCTTCCCCATTTCTTCTGTCTTGGTTATCTCCTCCTGAGAACAGGGGAGTTAGGCAAGATAACCACTGAAATCCTCCCTCCCCTGCCCGCTCCTGGCAATGCTGTGAGGAAGGAGAGGTCTCGTCACCTGCTGCTGCTTCTTCAGGCTCTGGATGCTGCGCTGCAGATGGACGACGTCCGCAGCTCGCTTCAGGTTCTCCCCGTCGATGTGGGTCCACGGGACGTGGAGCTCATCCTGGAGAACCTGCGTCTTTGCCGTGACCTCGTCCAGCTGTGCCTGCAGCTCTGGTTGAAAGTCAAACCAAAAAGATCTCAGCCCAGGGGTGCCAGAGCTTCACCTCTTCACTGAGCTGAGGAGCTGGCCTGAGCCCTTGTCTTGGTTTGAGCTAAACAGAACTAATTTTCTGTTTAGTGATTTCACTTTTCAGCTCAGTCTCTTCTAAGAGGCTGAACTTGCTGAAAGCAGCAGCATGGTTTTCCAACAGTGTTCCCTTCTACAAGTGATAGTGCTTGTATGTGATGGAAACATGGCAAGGCCACTGTCTCACCATGGGTACTGTGTCTGCACCTACAGGAGGAGCAGACCCAAACCTGACCATCCAGGGATTGCATCCCACACACGCCACACTCAGTGCAAAGCCCAGGGATCACCAGGGGCTGGACCCTTCCAGCTTGGACCCTTCCTTCCCTCTCCACCCCTGCAATGGCCCAAGGCCCAGCAGACCCTGCTGCTTCGCCTGCCTCTCATCCTGAGCCCTGTGCTTCTGCCTCCTGGAAGCTCAGCAGGGTCAGGCCCGGTCAGTGCTTGGATGGGAGACTCCCTGGAGTTACTGGGTGCTTGCTCTCACTGCTGCTGGGTCCACACTGGGACTTTTCCAGTGCTCCCAGAGTCTCTGGTGATGTCACTGGGGGAGGATTTTATATTGGTTTTGTAGATATATTTGTATATATCTGTTTATATTTCATTATTTTCCTATTTCCATTATTATCCTGTAGTTTCAGTATTATTGTTTCATTAAACCTGTTGTTTTCTTTTCCAACCCGTAAAGTCTCTCTCCCTTGTTCTCTTTTCTTTTCCCCTCTGGGGAAGGCAGAGGGGTTCACAGAGAGCGTCTGGCCAGGGTTTAGCAGCCAGCCCAGCCCTAAACCACAACAGCTCTTGTCCTGACAGAGGTTAAACACCCCGTGGGGAGTGGGAATGGCCCGAAGCAGAGCACCTTGACCAGACCCTGTCCCAGCGCACATCACCAGAGAGGCGATTCCTACACCCTCCCTGTACACAGGCTGCCGGCTGTCACAGGGCTCTCTCCCGCCTGAGCATCCCCATGGAGCAAATGGGATCCATTTTCATAAATGGAATTGTTTGACATTTGTAAGATCAACACAGCGCCTTTAACCTAACACGGCGGAAAGCAAAGGTAAGAGGGCTGCGCAGAGCGCATTTCACAGCAATGTCAGCAACTCACTTCCCAGATTCTTTTCCATCGTTTTTTCCATTTCCTGGAGCTCTGCCCTCGCTGTCTCCAGCTGGCTCTGGTTGAGGGTCTGCACCTTCTCCCTCAGCTTCTGCACAGGGAGAAACCCCGTCACTTCTCTGCAATGTTCTCCTGTGCCATCCCCGTCCCTCTCATGTGCTGGCGCTGGCGTTAGCAGCACAGAGGAACCCATTGCTGTGACCAGTGCCCATTAAATGTACGGGAGCTGCTCTGGGAAGCAGAGCAGTGCTCCAGGAGCCGGCTGGAGCCAAGCACATTGTGGGGGGATGTATTTGGGGTGTTACAGGGGTGACTGCTGCCACTTGGGACAGTTATTTGCAGCTTTAAAACACAGACACAAAACAAAAACCCCACACGGTGCATCACAGAGCTCCTCCAGGGCTGGGGATGCAGCAGAGAGAAAGGGGCTGGGCAGTACCTGGCCCCATCCAGGACTAATGGCAGTCACAGGAAGCTCTGCTTTCTGCTGGATCGGGTCTGTTGGCCTCACCTGGGAGTCTCCATGGCGCTGCAGCAGGAGCCTGGCTTGCTTGGCCGTGCTCTCCTCGGTGTGCCGGATGTCCTCGAGCAGCCGGCAGTCGGTCTGCACCAGGCAGGCGCCGCGCTCCTTCAGCTCCTCCGTGGCATTTCTCTTCACACAGAATCACAGACCGTCAGGGATTGGAAGGGACCAATCCCCCTGCCGGAGCAGGAACACCCAGATGAGGGTGCACAGGAAGGCGTCCAGGCGGGTTTTGAATGTCTGCAGAGAAGGAGACTCCACAACCTCTCTGGGCAGCCTGGGCCAGGGCTCTGGCACCCTCACTGAGAAGAAGTTTCTTCTCCAATTTCAGTGGAACCTCCTGTGTTTCAGTTTGTGTCCGTTACCCCTTGTCCTATCATTGTTTGTCACCGAGAAGAGCCTGGCTCCATCCTCGTGACACTCACCCTTGAAATATTTATAAACATGAATGAGGTCTCCCCTCAGTCTCCTCTTCTGCAAACTAAAGAGCCCCAGCTCCCTCAGCCGCTCCTCAGAAGGGAGATGCTCCACTCCCTCCATCATCTTTGTAGCCCTACGCTGGACTCTCTCCAGCAGTTCCTGTCCTTCTTGAACTGAGGGGCCCAGAACTGGACCCAATATTCCAGATGTGGTCTCACCAGGGCAGAGCAGAGCAGGAGGAGAACCTCTCTCAACCTACTAACCATCGTTCAGATCGTTCAGATCCTACAGGAATTTGAGCATTAAAGTGTTGTGGGCTTCGCCAATCCCACCAGGTTTCCTCACCATCCCCGGGACATCCCTGTCCCACGGTCACAGCATCAACAAAGCCATCCCTCAACAAACCCCAGCCACAGAGCTGTGGCACCCTGATGTCCCCCACCCCGCACAGCCCTGCTCCTTACTCCCAGCTGCAGCATCACCGCCTCTTTTACATCCATCTTCCACCAACTAAAAAGCTGTGGTCGTATCCACCCAGACTGAGAAAACCTGATTCCGACAGCCTTTTCTAAAAGACGTCCTAAATCTCACCCCTCCTGCTGCTGCAGTCTGCGCTCTCTCTTGCTTTCTCTTCCTTTTCCCTTGATAGACAACATCAAGGTTTGATTTCACCAGCACTAAGCAGAGCTGCACAATTACCTCCAGTGTGCTCATAAATAAACACGTGCCATTTTCCGAGGGTGACTCAGGCCACTAGAATTAAAGGCAGCCGGGGTAACTGTATGGATCTGCTGCCCACAGCCCAGCACTGGGTAGCTGTTGCACGTACCATGGTAATTTTGACCTCTTCCAGGGTTTTAGCCAATCCACCCTTCCTCAGCTCCGATTTCCTCCGAGTAGAACCTCTGTGTTCCCCTTGGGGTGATGATGTGGCCGATGGCAAGGGTGGATTTTTATTCGGCGTAAATGCAACTGGTAAAACAAAACTAAAAGGCCTGTGCTGATTTCACAGCCCAGTTCCAAGCCTTGTGTCCTGCCAGAGGTGGCTGAGGGAAATTTAAAATCAACTGAGGCTGAATTCAAACCTTCTGCAGCCCCGGCATTAGCGGCTCGCAGGGAGCTGAGCCTCCAAAGTGCTCCCTGGCCTTTTCTTGTTGTCACTCTTTATTCCAACATTTCCCCTTGGGTAATTCTCTTTTTGAGGATTTTACTGAACATCTCCCAGCAGAAAGCACTGGGTCAGAGCAGAAGTGGCCCAAGCAGGCAGGGTCAGCAGGGCGGTGCAAGGGAATCTCTCCCAGCCTGACTTTTTCTTCTCCCCTTTCTTCTTGTCCTCATCGGTGAGCGGTGGCAAAGCCAGCCTCCGGGCTGGAGATTTCCTCTCCTCTACTCCCTTCTTCTGCCATGTGCTGTGGTCCTAAACTCGACAGGGCAGCAGCACAGAGAGGCTGGGAGTCAGAGGGGGTTTGTGAGCAGAGCCCTCCCTGACGCAGCCCACGGTGCCGACTCTGCTCCCTTAAAGCCCAGCTGCAAATCTCAGGGCTGTGAGAGACGCAGTGCTGCAAAACCCCACGGGAGCGAGAGATTTACCGT